GAGTGTACAACAGCAGCTAGTGGCTAGCATTCCTCTTGCAGTTTTGGATGCAGTCATTTGTTACTGGATATCCTTTTGAGAATGTTTTAATTGAAAAGATTAGCTATAAGCCTGTTTAACTCCAGTACTTGGAAACTTGTTGAATTGAATGGATTTGGAAATTACAATACATTATAAGCACACTTACTAGGGGAGCTAAGGATGCTCGCGAGTGACAAGAGAAAATGGCCTCAAATGAAGGACTGATTGCAGCTGTAGGAAGTTTCTACTACTACAGTCGTGCAGCAAAAACTACCTAATAGCTCTGATATGGAGGTATACTGCTATCACCTTTATCCCAAGTAGAAGTGTATCTTACTATCCAAGTTTGCTTTTAAAACTGTGAATTAGAATTAGTGATCATTGAACTTTAATAAAAAAACGGGTTGTATTTGTTGCAAAGACAAGCCAAACCAGTTACTCGTCGCAAATCCTGTTTTGGAGATAATGGCCAAAACATGCTAGAATGTCAAAATTTTGGAAATCTATTTTATTGCACCAAAACTAACGTTTATATATATATATACATCATGCTATGGTGTTATTTTCTTCATTTTTAATGTTAAAACAACAATTTTTAACGATTTGGTGATGGTTTCTGCCTAAGAAATGCCAAAAATCGTAAATTTTGAAGGCTGATTTCTCAAATATTGTTCTTTAAACAGCTATATGTTCAAACTTCATAACAAAGTGTCGGATTTAAATGATTTTTTACCATTTTATAGCTCTCATTGTACTGTTAAACCCTGTATTGATAATTAAAAATTGATTTTTCCAATGAGTGACTGGTTTGGCTTGTCTTTGCCACATTTAGAGGTCTGTAAAAATTTCGCTACCAGTTTCTACTTCAATCTGTCACCCCCACTCCCAGCTTTTATTCACAGCTGTATCAGCTCTATAAAAGCCAGTGGCATGTTAATGCCTATTGTTTCTTTTTAATTTAGAAAGTTGCTCCACAAGCTTAGTTTTGGTTCTGTGTCAATCATAGCATATTTCAATATTGTCACAAATAGTGTACCAGTCTGGTAGTCTATTACCATTATCTTTTTTATGTTACATCCAAGTTATATATACATTTGATGATCCATATAAAGGAATTGTCAACCTTAACAGTGAGTCCACATATTTACCAATTTGGTTGACACAACAAGAACTTTGAGACTACGTCGCAACGTTGTCAAGCTTTGGTTGTACCGCCATTTTACAAATGCACTCATCTTCTGCATCATTGCCGCCGTGATTTTCATAGCATGGTCTACAAAACAACACAAATTAGCTCTGTGTGTAAGTGTAAGTACTAGACAATTTTTAACTCAATTTCTATACCTAATGCTTTTACAAGTCAGGGCACACAAACAAATGTTGGTCAAACTTTGTCTGATAATGTTGCTTGTTTCTGACATATCTGTATGAAACAATGTGTTACAATCTTGGTTGAGGAAAAAGTATACCTGTATATGTTTCTTGACAAAAAAAAAAAAAAAGATAGATTTTCAAGATTTTGGGTTGGTTAGGCTTGGGAAACACAAAGATTTTCTTTTTTTTTTGGCTATAGTGCTCTAAATTCATCAAAAGTGTGAAAGCATATCTGACAGAACATATAGCATATCTGACAGACCTTTTGGCTCTGTCCATGGTATTTTATGTAACAGAACAGTTTACAATGCGATTTGCTTAAATATGTGTAGGTATGAGTCAGAGCAGTTTACATTGTGATTTGCTTATATGTGTAGGTATGAGTCAGAGCAGTTTACATTGTGATTTGCTTATATGTGTAGGTATGAGTCAGAGCAGTTTACAATGTGATTTGCTTATATGTGTGTAGGTATGAGTCAGAGCAGTTTACAATGTGATTTGCTTATATATGTGTAGGTATGAGTCAGAGCAGTTTACATTGTGATTTGCTTATATATGTGTAGGTATGAGTCAGAGCAGTTTACAGTGTGATTTGCTTATGTACAGTATGTGTAGGTATGAGTCAGAGCAGTTTACAATGTGATTTACTTATATATGTGTAGGTATGAGTCAGAGCAGTTTACAATGTGATTTACTTATATATGTGTAGGTATGAGTCAGAGCAGTTTACAATGTGATTTGCTTTATATGTGTAGGTATGAGTCAGAGCAGTTTACAATGTGATTTGCTTATATATGTGTAGGTATGAGTCAGAGCAGCTTACAATGTGATTTGCTTATATATGTGTAGGTATGAGTCAGAGCAGTTTACAATGTGATTTGCTTATATACAGTATGTGTAGGTATGAGTCAGAGCAGTTTACATTGTGATTTGCTTATATATGTGTAGGTATGAGTCAGAGCAGTTTACAATGTGATTTGCTTATATATGTGTAGGTATGAGTCAGAGCAGTTTACAATGTGATTTGCTTTATATGTGTAGGTATGAGTCAGAGCAGTTTACAATGTGATTTGCTTATATATGTGTAGGTATGAGTCAGAGCAGTTTACAATGTGATTTGCTTTATATGTGTAGGTATGAGTCAGAACAGTTTACAATGTGATTTGCTTATATACAGTATGTGTAGGTATGAGTCAGAGCAGTTTATAATGTGATTTACTTATATATGTGTAGGTATGAGTCAGAGCAGTTTACAATGTGATTTGCTTTATATGTGTAGGTATGAGTCAGAGCAGTTTACAATGTGATTTGCTTTATATGTGTAGGTATGAGTCAGAGCAGTTTACAATGTGATTTGCTTATATATGTGTAGGTATGAGTCAGAGCAGTTTACAATGTGATTTGCTTTATATGTGTAGGTATGAGTCAGAGCAGTTTACAATGTGATTTGCTTTATATGTGTAGGTATGAGTCAGAGCAGTTTATAATGTGATTTACTTATATATGTGTAGGTATAAGTCAGAGCAGTTTACAATGTGATTTGCTTTATATGTGTAGGTATGAGTCAGAGCAGTTTACAATGTGATTTGCTTTATATGTGTAAGTATGAGTCAGAGCAGTTTACAATGTGATTTGCTTATATATGTGTAGGTATGAGTCAGAGCAGTTTACAATGTGATTTGCTTATATACAGTATGTGTGGGTACGAGTCAGAACAGTTTACAATGTGATTTGCTTTATATGTGTAGGTATGAGTCAGAGCAGTTTACAATGTGATTTGCTTTATATGTGTAGGTATGAGTCAGAGCAGTTTACAATGTGATTTGCTTATATAAAGTTTACAATGTGATTTGCTTATACACAGTATGTGTAGGTATGTCAGGGCAGTTTACAATGTGATTTGCTTATATAAAGTTTACAATGTGATTTGCTTATATACAGTATGTGTAGGTATGAGTCAGAGCAGTTTACAATGTGATTTGCTTATATACAGTATGTGTAGGTATGAGTCAGAGCAGTTTACAATGTGATTTGCTATATATGTGTGGGTATGAGTCAGCAGTTTACAATGGTATTTGCTTGTACATGATGAGTCAGAACAGTTTACAATGTGATTTGCTTATAATGTGTAGGTATGAAAAGAGAAGTTTACAATGCGATTTGCTTATATATGTGTAGGTATGAGTCAGAGCAGTTTAAAATAGAATATGTCTGATGCTTAATTTATTTCCAGTGATGATCTTTTGCCACTCCAACTTCAATTAATGTTTTAGTCTAAATATGTATCTTTTCACTTTATAATCATCGATGAAAGCAAATATCAGTTTACATGTGAATATTGAATGAAGTAAAACCTATTTGACCTGACTTTTCTGAAATTTCTGTAGAAATGGAACGAGATTTGGTTAGACGATGCTTACTGGCATATTCTCTTCTACATCGTCCTTGTGGTGATCATTATTCTCTGGCGTCCTACTGCTAACAACCAACGCTATGCATACTCGGCCCTCACTGATGCTGTAGAGGATGAGGAGTCAAAGGAGCCAATGATTCCAGAATCGTTTGGTTAGTTTTATGTAAACTTTTTTTTTAAATTCTAAATTTTAAATTTAAACTAAACATGCACCATGTCAACTCGGTCCAAAGAAGTCAACTCTGCCCCAGTCAATTTGACCCCAAGGAAGTTATTAAATTTTTTTTTTAAATGCTTACAATTGGTAGAATGCCAGCTTCAGTGTATTCAGCTGTGGATATTGGTGGTTTATAAATCCTGTTGATTGATCTTGATTGAAGTTCCTAGAATCCGTAATAAACTATAGAAATTGAAGCATCAGTTGTGAAAAATAAACTGACAAAAATAGGTACAAACTTCAGTGTGCATTCACTTGTTGCAAAGTGAATGCACATGCATTGAATACTTATGCTGTGTTCACTAGAACTTTTGAAAACTGATCTCACAACTTGTAACATGCAAGAAAACGAGAAGAGTGCATTCATTTGACGAACACTAAAATGGCATTTTGTTTTCCTATTCGGGATTTTGACAAGTGCCCTCACGTGGATGTGCTCCTTGGCCTAGGCTCTGTAAAGTGTATTCAGAACGTTTTACAGTGCAAATCATGAGGTTGCAAATAAAACATACAAGAAACTCTTTTTTTTTTATTAAATCTGAAATAATATTGCTTAAACAAATTGCAATAAATACATCTGCTTGTTTGTGTTTCATCCGCCATTTTCAACACTACTTGTGCAAATAGAGGAAGAAAATTCTACTCGAGTTCACAACTTGTGTTTACAAGTTCACCGACCAGATGAACGTGAATGTGTGTGCATTCACATGTTGCCATGTGAATGCACACACATTAAATAGTTAGTGTGTGCATTCGCTTGTTGCAAAGTGAATGCACACACATTCAATAGTTAGTGTGTGCATTCACTTGTTGCAAAGTGAATGTACACACATTAAGTAGTTAGTGTGTGCATTCGCTTGTTGCAAAGTGAATGCACACACATTAAATAGTTAGTGTGTACATTCACATGTTGCAAAGTGAATGCACACACATTAAGTACTTAGTGTGTGCGTTCCCTTGTTGCAAAGCGAATGCACACACATTAAATAATTAGTGTGTGCATTAAATAGTTAGTGTGTACATTCACATGTTGCAAAGTGAATGCACACACATTAAGTACTTAGTGTGTGCATTCACTTGTTGCAAAGTGAATGCACACACATTAAGTAGTTAGTGTGTGCATTAAATAGTTAGTGTGTGCATTCACATGTTGCAAAGTGGATGCACACACATTAAGTACTTAGTGTGTGTGTTCACTTGTTGCAAAGTGAATGCACACACATTAAATAGTTAGTGTGTGCATTAAATAGTTAGTGTGTGCATTCACATGTTGCAATGTGAATGCACACACATTAAGTAGTTAGTGTGTGCATTCACTTGTTGCAAAGTGAATGCACACACATTGAATACTTAGTGTGTGCATTCACTTGTTGCAAAGTGAATGCACACACATTAAGTAGTTAGTGTGTGCATTCACTTGTTGCAAAGTGAATGCACACACATTAAATAGTTAGTGTGTGCATTAAATAGTTAGTGTGTGCGTTCACTTGTTGCAAAGTGAATGCACACACATTAAGTAGTTAGTGTGTGAATGCACACACATTGAATAGTTAGTGTGTTTACTGCCAAGAAAAACTTTTAATAATTTTTTTTTCAAAGCATGATTTTCTGTGGCAGTAAACATGAGGCTCATAAAAAAGTAATAAAAAAATAATTTAGTCAGCAAAATATTTTTTGATACATCAACCTAACGTGGATGAGCTAAGTCCTTAAATAAAGCTTGTGTTTTCCAAGACTAGACAATGCTTTCAATGCTGACACTGCTTACTATGCTTTCTGGAAGTGCATTCCAGTCTTTTATGGTGGAGGCAAAGAATGGGTCTTTGAACACTCTTGATTTGTGCCTTTGCCTGAATTTCTGATTCTGTCCCCTGGATAAATTAGTGTGTGGATGGACATACTGGTGAAATGGATATCGACAAGCCCATTTTGCATCTTGTAAAGCATCCCAAGTTTTTGATGTCTTCTGGTTTCTAATGAGTTCCATTTCAATTCGTCAAGGATGCAGGTAACTGTACCTTCTTCTTTGGAGTATTCTTTTTATAAAAACAAGTTACTTGGCGCTGCACATGCTCTAATGACTTAATATTTTTTATAATGGAAGAATCCTATACACTTGAAGCATACTCTAGAAGAGCTCGGACTGCACTCTTGTAAGCAGTTACCTTCACATCTTCAGAGATTTCTCCTGATGACATTTTGGATTCTCTGAGCCTTGTTGATAATGGCTTGGATATGGGTGTCTCAGCTGAGTGTGTTTGAGATTTGTACTCTGAGGTAAAGGAAAAGAAGAGACTGTTGGGGGTGTACAACAAACACGCCTGGTCTGTTAGGCAACATTGTTGTTGTATAAAGTAGGAACCAGAGTGGCCCAGGGATCGTACATTGAGGCAAACAGGATATTACTCTTGCTGAATCAGATGACTGGCCATTTATGGCAACTAGTTGGCTTCTACTGGAAAGGAAATTATTAACCTACGTGGCTATTTCCCACTTACACCATAGTATTCTAATTTTTATATGACTGCGATGAGGGCGAAATGAGAGACCTTATCAAATGCTTTGGAAAAATCAAGCACTGCTACATCTACAAGGTTGCTTTTGTCCAATTCCCCACTAATATCAGGTATGGTTAGCAGCTAGTGTTCTTCCAATGGAAATTTTTTACTGGTAACCTTGTCCACATAGAGCCAGCTAAGCATGTGCAACATGAGGTACTGAAGTTCAATGGCTTAAAAAAAACAACAATACATATTATCATATCCTAGACTTGGACTGGAATGATGTTCGTTTATAGAAAGGAGGCCAGCTTAGACTACCTAGTGCTGATAAGTGCTTTTTTTTATTCTACCAACTCAATTTTTACTGGTTGATTAGTTTTTTTTACGGGGTAAAAACAGCTACTGTAAAACAGCTTTGGGAGAACACTGGGTGAGCTGAGTTTAACACACCACCGAGGTAAGAGATATTGGCCTGTAATTAGCAGCTACGGTCCTGCTTCCTTTTTTGAAGACTGAAACAATGATTGCATTCTTCAAGTCTTGTGGAATTTCTCCAATATTGATGGATGTTTAAAAGAGGCCTTGTAAAAGTTTAGCAAGTTCGGAAGCTCCAATTTTCAACAACCACTGGGGGATACCGTCGGGTTCATGAATCTTTGTCGAATTCAGGTTTCAAAGAAGTTTATCTCTCCTTCGGACGTGATGCGCGAATACTTGATAATGAGGTAAGGGCTAATTACCAGTGAAGAAGTATCCCCTCTGGTTCATCTGTTAAAAACACTAAGGAACCGAGCAGTAAGAATATCAGCTTTGTCTTTGCCATGACTCACAACTTTAGCATTGTTGTTTTTTAAAGTTGATCCAAGAGTGTCAAAGGTATAATTTGCATGGGCCTGTTTGAGATTCATGTTGTAGAGTCATTGTTTCTTCTTTATTTCCCTTCGTAAATATCTATCCAAGGCAGGTTAAAATGACTGGAAGTCACCTTGGTAAGAACCCCACATATTTCCAATGGGTATAAGGGGGAAATAAATATATAAATAAAAAAAAATAGGTAACAATTTGAGATCAGGTGAAATGAGCGTCGGACAAAGAAAACAGTAAAATTGGACAATCCAGAGAGATCTATTTCAGGAACAAATGGTTTCTGAGGGAAATGTATAAGCCAGGGTACTGCTTTGGCAATTAATTGAAGGAAAAAAATGGAAAATGTGCAAAAAAGAATTCTCTGGAATTAATTATTAGGAATAGGTGGAGCAGTAACAACCAGAAAATAAAAGGCAGATTTGCAGCCTTATGTCCCCAAAGAACTCCTGTAGGCCTATGACACTTTTTCAAGTGTTATGAAATATTCTAGCAAGAGACCATACATCATTATGCTACCAAATTTAGGATATTTATCTCAATCAGCTGAGAACAAAGAAATGAAAAAGCAATTTACCAAATAGGCTAGGCTAGAAACACATAACAGTGAGCCAAGCAATGGACAGCACAGGTTGAGTGGACAGAAACATTAACCACTGACAGTGGTGGAAACCATTGAGAAAAACAGAAACCTGAACAAACAAATTTACTATAAAAATTTAGTAACAAACAATCCAAGAACAAAGGTCACCATATAATAATCAAGAAAAGTAAAAAAAAAAAAAAAAAAAAAAAAATCCAATAGCAGGTAGGCACAGTCCAAGTCATTCCTACATGCATCATGACCAGCAACAATGCTTTTTAAGCTCTGATGAGGACCTCTTGGAGTACCCTGCGGATTGATTGATTAATAGATCTTTTTTGTATGAGCGGCCATTAGGGCCAATATACTTCACTGCCTTTATTATACTGCCCTCATCAGAGCTTTTGAGATTACGAGAACTTGTTATATAGACAATCAAAACCAGGCATTAAAATCCAGCCTATATGTAAGGGCAGGCATTGAAAGCCACGTTATATGTAATAGCAGGCACTGAAAGCCACCCTATATGTTGTAAGAGCAGGCATTGAAAGCCGCATATATGTAAGAGCAGGCATTGAAAGCCACCCTATTATGTAAGAGCAGTTGTTGAAAGCCATGCTGCATGCAAGAGCAGGCATTGAAAGCCACTCTATATGTAATAGCAGGCATTGAAAGCCACCCTATATGTTGTAAGAGCAGGCATTGAAAGCCACGCTATATGAAAGAGCATGCATTGAAAGCCACCCTATATGTAAGGGCAGGTATTGAAAGCCATGCTGCATGTAAGAGCAGGCAGTGAAACCATGTTATATGTAAGAGCAAGCCTTGAATGCCACGTTATATATAAGAGCAGGCATTGAAAATCAGTTGTTTCGGAGATAGCACCACCTATCTTTAAGCACAAATCTTAAAATCTAGTTATTTTCCGTCGTAAAATAATGTAACTGCAAGATTACGGGGCAAAACAATGTATCTGCGATGTAGATATGTTGTTTTGTATCGGAACAGTATTCAAAAATTGTTTAGAGCCGATTGATTTTTGCAAGGCAAAACAACTGGTTATTGGTGTTTTCATATCAATAATCTTAACAGAGACATATGAACAAGCTAGAAATGCATGTGATTGCTGCAAACGTGATAAATTCCAAAAAATATGACACACTTAAAAAACAATACCGAGCCTGAAATGTTTTTGAGGCAAAACAATGTATCTGTGAATATTGCTAGTAACTTTGCAATAAACAAATGGTTGTAATAAAAATTTTACATTTAATCACCATGTCTAAAATTATACAATCCTGCAAAATTTCAAAAGATTATGACAATTTATTGCTGTCATGAATTCCTACTTGACCTATTTCCAAGCGGTAAGAAAGTGACTAGGAATCTCTCTTTGACATATAAAATATCAACACAGCTCACAATTGTTGTAACACAACTCTCAAATAAACTTTTATTCTGTGTGAACTCCAACAAGAATCCAGTATCAAAATAACAAAACAATATTCACATGAACATGTGTTTCAAAAAGGAGCTCCTTTGAAATACCAAGCTCAAGAGCATTCTATATTGCCTAAGTTCCTCATTGGTCACATTACATCATATTATCCAATAAGCAATTGCTTTTAGTACTTCAACATCTAGAACCTTCCAGGTTTCTTATGTTCCTATAATTACCAATATGATTTACACTGTTTGTTTGGTCAAATAAATACAATTTTAGAATGTTATGTAATAAATATGTTACAATAAGGAAAGGAATGTTAATTTATTACAATTGCCAAGTTGCAAATATGCAAACTTTAACTCTATTTTTTCTCCAAAAGTGAAAAATTCAAGTTGTTTTGCCACAGAACATTCATGCAGCAGTGTGAAAAAGTAGTTGATTAAAATTGATCAGTTGTTAAACACAGCAAGCAAGCTAAATTTATATTGATTAAACATAAAGAACGTAATCTTATTTTATATTATTTTCTAGCCTTGTCTCATTTAAATTAAAATATTTTTCATAAAATGGTAAGATTTGTATGGAGAAACACCTCCACAGCTGAAAGAGTATCTTAAGAGTAATCAGAATGTCTTGGGTATGAATCTTGATTGGGAAAATATATTTTCTTCATTTTCAGAGGGGATGAAGATGCGAAATGTCAACCGCCCTGATAATTCAGTTTCCACAAAGGTTGAAGATGACCTGAAGTGGGTTGAAGATAATATTCCAGCGTCTGTAGCAGATACGTAAGTACATTTCAAATAATTAGAATAATTAAGATAATAAATATTTTATGGTCTTTAGCAGTTACGTAAGTACATTTTATATAATTAAGATATTAAATATTCCTGGGTCTGTAGCAGAAGTACATTTCAGATAATTATATTACATATTTCATAGTCTGTAGAAGATATGTAAGTACATTTCAAATAATTAAAATAATTAAGATATTAAATATTCCAGGGTCTGTAGCAGATATGTAAGTAAATTTCAAATAATTAAGATAATTAAGATATTAAATATTTCAGGGTCTGTAGAAGATATGTAAGGACATTTCAAATAATTAAGATAATTAAGATATTAAATATTCCATGGTTTGTAGCAGATATGTAAGTAAATTTCAAATAATTAAGAATAATTAAGATAATTAAGATATAGAATATTCCAAGGTTTGTTGCAGATATGCAAGAACATTATAAATAATTAAGATAATTAATATTGTATATTTTTATATTGTACCTGAATAAATTAATAATATTCCAGCTCATGTAGCAGATATGTAAGTAAATTTCAAATAATTTCAGGTTTGGTTTTGTAGAGGGTGTGTCAAGCCAATATAGAATTCAAATTAAATTTTGGGGCTAACACCCATTTCCAAACCCATATAAACCCCGGAGAGGCCAAGGTCTGCTACCCAACAAAAATGTAAAAATATTTTTTGAAATTAACTTGCCTATTTTGAAATAACATCAACTTGAACATAGAAATTTGTGTATTTAAAAAATGTCTACCCATCAGTTTACAGCAAAAAATGATAGAAACACTTCCAGTCACTGGAATTTTTTTATTATTGGTGATCCGCTTCTCGAGCAGATCACCTATTGTTATTGTACTGGATCATCATCTTTTTTTTTATTCTTTCTTTCTCCACATTTCTTGTTCGTACGATATCCCAAAATTGCTATGACTCTGAGCTATGCACATGGCCACTTCATCAGGGTAAACATTTTTTAAATTCAATAATTTTTCTATGCAGAATTTAATAATTTGTATGCTATTGTAATATGAGCAAGTTTATTTCAAAATTATTTTTTAATGATTTTTTGACATTAGCAAGGGACAATACATCTTTAACAATACAGTAAATTTTTTTAAATTTTCAATAATCCATTGTGCCTCGGCTGGTGCATTCCACCCACCCCAGAATCCACCTCCGGCCTGAAACATCTATAAATAAAGAATTTAATGATTACCCGTCTTAGTAGGGCTATTATTAAATATAGAAACATTATACAAAACATGTTAAAATCGATTAAAACAATTTATATAGGCCTACTAATAATTTTCATGTTTTGATGATAAAGGCCTACTATCGATTACACCATAAAGAACGATGGTCATTTGATTCAAATTGGCCTAATCTTATTTTCTTATTTCAGAGAGTAGCATAACTTGTGGTACCGAGTGACACTTTTTTGTTTAGAAATGCTTGGGACCATAGATACTGGAACATGAAATTTAAATTGAAAATTAGTTTGTTTTGGAGTAGGACTGTGATATTGTACTTTCCTCTTTCTTGACTTTCTTTTCTTCTCTTTTTTCTTTTGGATCTGCTCTAAAAAAATGATTCATTGAATGATTAGTAATGCATATTTATATTGGCAAAGCTTTATTTTGAACATTTTAGTACATTCATGAATTAGCATGTAAATATGCACACTCATTAATTGTATGTAAGAAAATTAGGTTTTATGCATAGACCTAATGATAAATTTGCATGCAAATATTCAAATTCAAAATGTGTGTGGAAATATTAGTTACCTCTAGGGAGATTACCTACCATGGTCACTTAGTGAGTGAAAGCACTATATTCAAGAGGCCCAACTTTTTCTTTCCCCCTGCCCATGACTCGTAATTTACTCACCACTAGACACTTCCGGCAGATCTGTTTAAACAAGGTTTCTAAACACATTTAATTTTATTTTTCTGTGCCTGGTGATACCTTCGGGATTTATTTTGAGACAGTAGATAATACAGTAAAAACATGAATGACATGGGTCATTTGAAGTTACAGGACATGGGTTATTTTAAGTTACAGGACATGGGTTATTTTAAGTTACAGGACATTGGTTAATTTTAGTTATAGGACATGGGTTATTTTAAGTTACAGTACATGGGTTATTTTAAAGTTACAGTACATGTTTTATTTTAAGTTACAGGACATTGGTTATTTTAAGTTACAGGACATTGGTTATTTTAAGTTACAGGACATTGGTTATTTTAAGTTACAGGACATGGGTTATTTTAAGTTACAGGTCATGGGTTATTTTAAATTACTTGTCATGGATTATTTGAAGTTACAGGACATGGGTTATTTTAAATTACAGCAAATAGGTTATTTTAAGTTACAGGACATGGGTTATTTTAAGTTACAGGACATTAGTTATTTTAACTTACAGTACATTATTTATTTTAAGTTACAGGACATTGGTTATTTTAAGTTACAGGGCATAAGTTATTTTAAGTTACAGGACATGGGTTATTTTAAGTTAAATGACATAGGTTATTTTTAAGTTACAGCACATAGGTTATTTTAAGTTACAGGACATTGGTTATTTAAAGTTACAGGACATTAGTTATTTTAAATTGCAGGACGTTATTTATTTTATGTTACAGGACATTGGTTATTTAAGTTACAGAAAATGGGTTATTTTAAGTTACAGGTCATGGGTTATTTTAAATTACTTGTCATGGATTATTTTAGTTACAGGACATTGGTTATTTTAAGTTACAGGACATGGGTTATTTTAAGTTACAGGACATTGGTTATTTCAAATCACAGGACATGGGTTATTTTAAGTTACAGGACATGGGTTATTTTAAGTTACAGGACATGGGTTATTTTAAGTTACAGGACATTGGTTATTTTAAGTTACAGGACATTAGTTATTTCATGGTACGGGACATTAGTTATTTTTAAGTAATACAGGACATTGGTTATTTTCCCGACATTTTTGCTTGCTTGAAGCCTTCTGCGACTTAGGGAGACTTGGGCCCTGTGTTAAAATAAAGTTGAACATCTGATCTTGATTGATTAATTAGTTTATTAATTGGTTATTTAAATAACTAACTTGCATTTTTTTTTCTCTTTTAGTGCTTTGGCTGTATTTGATGATTCTGATGAAGAGATTGTCACGAATATTGAACGCAGTAAATTGGAATGAACAAGAACAGTGGTTGATAACTTTGGAATGTAAAGTAGAAAATTGGAAACACTCAGACATGCCATAGATCTGTGGACATTCCTGCCACAGGTTAGAGTTGCAGTAATTTGACATAATATGCACTTTCGTCTAAATGGTATGTTTCGATCATAGGTTATGGTATAAATATTTGTTTTGGGCTGCTTGGTCTGAGTCTGGGATGATCACACTGATTAACTAAAGAGGACTGATACATCTTGGAACAAATGTGTCGTTTGACAGATGTCAGCACAGGTTGACCATTGGGTTGCGCCTGAATTGTAATAACCAAAAATGATATGTGCGATTGTTACACCTGGATACAGTAATTTTTTGAAACAAACCAATTTGAAAGATCTTTGCAGTTATGCTGATTTTATGACATGGTGCCCTCTAAAGCCATGGAGTTGCAACATTGTTCCACCTGGAATTTTTATAGGATTTAACTTATGCCAGATACAAACTACTAAAGTGATTATTACCAGCACTCCTATCTTTTTATGTTTTACATTGGTAGTATTAATCTATGTAGTTGTCTACTTTTTGTTTGTTGTCGCTGACAAGATCCTTTGAAGTGTGCTACTGTAAAATGAATCAAGTATGGGTTTCCATAATATTGCTACCAAATCTGGACAGTTGGTAGCAATTTCATAGAAGTTTTGATATTATAATATCAGGTGGCAAATTTTGTTGGTCACATGGATGTTTCTGTCACTGTGGTGGACATTAATAAATAAAATTGATCAACATTATCAAGCTTATAGCTTTATTAGTAAGGGATAAGACAATAAAAAAAAGCCAAACCTTGCTGTCACTCAATGTTCTACACTACCAGATATATTAAACAGAGAAACTTCATTTTGCCACTAAATTTTAATTTTTATAAATTTCAATGCATATCAATGTCATGTATTGAAATTAGCACTACTCACTTTTGCTGAAAATGTTGTGGGGGCCCCCCTCCCCCATTTGAAAAATTCTCGATCTGCCTCTGGTAACCTGTATTTAAATTCGCCATGGCATTGAGTATGATCACCGAGAGTAAATTCCAAAGCAGATCGGATCAGCTGATTTCATTTGATAATTGGTTAAAAATTGTTCTTGACTGATTTGGCAAGTTAATGTGGTTCCCTATGTGGAGCATGTTATTGCAGTGTAGAATTTGCAAAATATAGTTAGCATGTGTAGCGTTTTTATGTAAATCAGGCTTGAATTATCAAAAGCCTCATTTATGTATTTTGTAAAAATACAATTACTTCATTTATACATTTACTTATATGAAGACTGCACATTTGAGTGAAAGAAAACTTAAAAATAGTAAACTGTAGAATAAAATGTGTTTTACTTACATCTATTAGAAAATATTTAAATATTTATAATTGATAAATAATTATTGATTAAAATAGAGTACTACAGTACTTTATTTTAAAGGTATTCAATTTTATTTTCTTATTTTTATTATTATATTACTACTACTAGTGTTATAATTTATTATTGTTCCTACTACTATTATTACTGTTGAACATTATCATTTTACAATAATTCATATTTTACAATACTCTTATTTTAAAGTTGCAGTCCATGATGGTCAAGTAATTGTGAGAATGCATTGATCCAGATGACCATTAACATGTAAACATTCTCATAACTGGCTCATTGTATCTAATTCAAAATGTCTAAATTGTTTACTATTGGCCAGAGGTATAAGTATGGTGTTAGTCATAAATGTTATCAAATTGTTTGTTACATTTTTCATTAATTGCTTAATTTAGGTCCAATGCTGTGTAATTCATTACTTCACATATTGCTTTAAAAAATGGTTATTCAATAATATTCTGTTTTTTGTGTGTTTCAAAAAGAAAATCAAAACTTTGATTTGATTTTAGTATTCTAGTATTTATATCATTTGTAAAATGTGTTGTAGTTTATAATAAATAATGATATGAGTTCTTTCTATCTTTATTATTTAGATTGCTGCTAAATTGTACAATATTTGCAATTAAATGAAAAAGATGAAAACAGTTTAAAACTTAATACTAATTAATGTTAAGTTGTACATTTTAATTGCTGGATATTTCAATAAGACCATTTTTCTTTTATCTCTCCCCAATTTGAAGTTTGTTTATTACTGTATAATTATTAAATGGTGTTTGTTCGTAGTTTATCTTTAATTTGGAATACTGTAGTGTGAAATTTATTTATGTATATATATATATTGAACCATCTCTATTTCATATTGATGGTATTATGTGATTATCAAGATTGTGCTAAACTGTAGAGGGCAGTTTTCTCACAGTATGTTTGAATCTGTGTAGCATGTGACGGGTCTTTTTTTATTATTATGGTCTTCAAATATTATACCCTGCAGCTTGCTGGGTGATTGATATGTACACCGGGAGCAAATCTTATACAGTATTGTCCTGTTATTTTTAGAATAAATTTCTTTGTTGGCTACAGAAGTCAAACTTGAGGGTGTTTATTAATGTCTTAATTGTAATTCTAGTAGGCCCTATTCATTACTGCATTGTGTAGACCCTATTTTAAAAACAACTCCATAGTCAATTTCATCAGACCGACTTCAAAAGTTAGCACCGCAAATATTTTGTGTACGTAGTGAGTATTAAGTACGATAGCACAGGTAGGTCAAAACATAATTCCTATTAATAATAATTGGTTCTGTCTGGGGTATTGCTTTCTGAGTTGGGGAATTGGGATGAATGTATACAAAATAGATAGGGATAAAGATACAGATGCATGTTTTATTGTCATTTGTCAGGGACATGGGCCAAGATCTGTTTAAAAAAGTAGAGGTGGGGGATTCGGTGGGGTGGGGAAGGAAGAGACAGTTGAGAACTACCCACACCTACCTACAAACAAGAGTCGACAACTATAGATATTCCTTCTTTGTGCGCACAAAATATCTACGTGGAACAGGTTACCATTACAAGTACAGTAGTAACATCACCAACACTCACCCAATTTCAAACCTTGGCATTGCCAGTACTGAGGAAGTTGCTACTTGCAGCATCCCACAAACAGTTTTAGCAATCGAAATGTTTTCAAATTTTACTTGCACTCTTAAATCACTTCACTAATTAACTAATACACTGACTGGTTTTGCGAGCACCAAACAGCATTCACCGATGGTAACGGTGTTGACAAGTCTAGGATGGAGACACTAATTATAACTGCCAAGTGGCTGGTTCGAGATAGATTCCACACCCTAACTCAACCCACCATGGTTGGGGCTAAAGTGTGGATTTTAGAGCACCTTTAGATTTCTGGAATTGGCACAAATAGAAACAATTATAAACCCCAACTTCATCCACTACAAGAAGATTTTGTATAAATTATGCCGACATTATTTTGAAATTATTATTACTAATTATTATTATTATTATTATTATTACTATTTCTGTTATTACATTTTTATAAGCTTTTTTTAGTTTATTTTATTGTTATCTCATTTTTATTAGGTCTTTTGTACTTTTTATTCTTTTATTTTTTATTTTTTAAATTGTATTGATGTCGCAGGTTCGAATCCCGTCGGAGGCATTTTATTACACAATGACTTTTATAGGACTTTATTCGTTGAAAAGCTACAGGGTAGCCTACGATGTTCCATCATGTCCTTATTTAAACACAGTATATGTACCTTTGATGATTTATATTATATTTATTCAACAGTGTTAACGGTCCATTCAATATCATATATAATATACAACAGTATTTCTAGCCATATTGCCAGATTTATCTGGCCGAACGCCCTCTTTGAGGCATAGCATTGTGTAGTACAATGTTCCCGACGGTTATTTGGACCTGTTCTACCATGAAGCCTTTGTGGTCTAGTGGTTATGACGTTCGCCTTGTCAGCGAGAGGTCGCAGGTTCGAATCCCGTCTGAGGCATTTTATTACACAATGACTTTTATAGGACTTTATTCGTTGAAAAGCTACAGGGTAGCCTACGATGTTCCATCATGTCCTTATTTAAACACTGTATATGTACCTTTGATGATTTATATTATATATAAATATATAGATATAAAACATTATTTGTTTGTTTAATGATTTTCTCCAACACTTCAAATTAACATAACAATATTAAGGTGATAACAATATAATAATAGTACAAAGATAACAAAATCGGTGTAAGTACAAGTGAAAATATAGTTATAGGAAGTGTGGAAGGAGGTCAAAATAAGTAAAAAACTTTAAGACTTGACCCCCATTTCTTTATGAAAGTAGTGACGTAATGCGATACTATTCTAGCATTGACAAACTTGATTGGCGGCGGCAAGAGTAGGCCCTCTTTGTCTAATGACGTCATAATAATAGCCCGAATCTCTGGACAGCCGCGGCGCTCGCGCATACGCAGCAATCTGCTAACTTCAGTTTGCTGTGCAGTTTCGACTGTGTGAACACCTTTTTGCGAAGTGAGAGTAATATCATCCTTTGCCTTATGGTGTTACTCGAGCCAGCAACTTGGCTTATCTAGTCGTCTGCAAATTCTATCTTTGTTCAACGTCAATAGAATTTAATTTAACCATGCCGACATTGTGTGGTATCAAATTCCATTGGTTGCCTAAATTTCTTCGCCGAAGAAAAACTAGAAGAGGTATGTCTGTTGATATCTTCAAAGCCTTAAATACTACCGTACTTCGTAGCACAAATAGTAACCACAACCTGGTGGAAACTGTATAAATCCATAAGCCATAATATAGGCCTATCCGTAACTAGATATTTCTTTCTGAGATAAACACTAAGTAACAATTTGTAAGGAGAGCCTGTTTGGTTATTAAATAAAATTTGGAAAGTCGGTTTAAAAATAAATCAACTCTCGGCTAGGTATAGTTAGAAACAGCCGAGAGGGTGATATTTGTACATTACCATATTTACATAATTTAACGCTTAGGCTAGGCCTTGACTACATTTTATGTACGAAATTGGATCAGAACAAAAGTATAAACATTAAATAAAAGGCTGTGTTTATTCTTCGGTAGAACCATGGTTACTAGTGACGTATATTGGACACAACGTGTGCGTGTAAGCGATGCATGCTTTGTGCGGCTGCGTATTTTTATCGTCGCGTCATTTATGTATTGCTGTATTCTTATCTTCTTATATTCTATCTATTATACTCTTCGGTTGTTATTTTTTTTTGTTTATGCAGCATCACATTACAATTTCAATTGACATAAAAAAAAAGGGGGGGGCGGGGGTGGGAAGGCAGTACAATTACATTAAAAAAAGAAGAAGACTTGGATAATTGAATAAGAAAGGAAAATGAAGAAAGGATGTCATGGACAACCCATAAAGCTGAGAAACTTATTTTCAATGAAGTAATACTGTACTCCAAAATATTGAAATACACGCCATTTTGTTGGTATTCAAAAGTATAATTGTCATCATTCTGAGATGAAGACATAATTAATGTCGACATATTGAATCTCAGCACGATGACGTGTATTTCAGTACTTGGAGTATGTATTATATTTTTTTATCTGAGGTTAATCAGTGGACGTTTCGGTTATTTTCAATGAGTCCATACAAAAAGGGGAAAAAGAACTCTGGGAAATCAATACACACGTCAAAGGCATGAATGAAATTTCAACAACGGTAAAGTTTTTTAAGTAGGCTGCAGTAGAACTTAATTACGTTCCTTCAAAGCATGGAAGAATTCGTTTAGAACTAATCTAAAACTAATTCCTAAATGGTCAAAGCAACAAAATAAATGTAATTTAACTTAATAAACTAGGCCTAATAAATAAAATTAAATATAGCACTCCTGGTATGCCTATAGTGGTTATGTACACTTGACACCTTTTGAAAATTTGAGCACATTATTTTAAGGAATGGAGAGCAAGCTTAAGCTGATTGACCCTATTCTCGACTGTAAGGTATCCAACACAAAGGCCAGAAATATAACGGATTGTAAGTCAATAGTGACGTCATCACTGTATCTTCCCCAGCGCCAATATAATTTCTCTCGGACGCTCGGTTGTTGGCTTGATTTTTTTAGATTCGTGTGCAAAAAAAATTCCTCATTTTTTCGTCACCACCAAAGATACTAGAAATACAAGATGGAGTTCTCGCATTGTAAAAATGAGGCGGAAGTCGTGCCCAACGTAGGCGGCGCCCTTCTTTTTAACCATGCAAGTTTCCTATACTTCGTGCCCAACGTACAGGGCGCCCTTCTGTTGCTAAGTACAGAGCCGTAGATAGAGAGAGTTTGGCCAACTTGGCGCATGGGCGCCATGTTGCCACCAAACAGCGTGCGCGCGTATAGCTTTATAACATTTTATAAAACACTGATGATGCTGCATAAACTTTCTTTCATTATTTTGTTCATGAGGACAATTCAATTATGGGATTTTAACATATATTTGTAAATATCATATACTGTATAATCATATTTACCTAACTTTGGAATTAATTAATCAGTGACGTGCTGTATTATTTCGAGAAGATAAAGTGAGGACGATTCTTTATTTTATTTATTTTTTCGTTACGATTATCTTTTTGTTTTGAAAGTCTATCATCTAGGCCTATCTGCTAGCAGCCTACTGTATATAGCATGAGGTCCTAAGTCAACACTGCAGAGGAGAAAGGTTGGTTGTGCAGACAGAGTGTGAATCGTCGGCGATAATATGTTAATTTCGCCTGTAAATGAATGATAAAAATATTAATAACATGAAAGTTTTCTAATTGTATCTAGGCCTCTAGGCCTATGACTTCGTAAACTTTAATTTATGAAATAAAATATGCTGGTCATCTTCAAACCAACAAATAGCCTAGGCCTAAATTGTAATCTAAACAATAAATCAAAGTTGAAGAATTATTGCATTGAGAGAAATTTTTGTACAACAATGCCTAACCATTCATAATCAAGAAGCTAGGCCTTGTAAGTAAAATAGTAGCATTCTCCACACTTCTGTTTATAATATTAGTGAGTTATAATATTATCATTATTACTGTATTATTTTGATTCATAGAAGGCGGGAAATGAGTTTTCCCGACTTCTGAGGTGTCTTTTATTTACTTTTAAGTTCTTCAAAATTCAAGGTATTCCCTTTTGAAAATTATTATGATGAATGAACCCAAAGAGAAAAGGGAGGTTCATGTTCTCCCCGGGGAAATGCTGATTTCTAAATGGTGGGAAATGAGCCTTCCCGACTTCTGAAGTATCTTTTAGCGACTTTAATTTAAGTTCTTCAAAATTCAACGTTTTCCCCTCTTGAAAACGGTCAGTTAAATTTTTTCCATTGTTATTACAGCAGATAGGCCTTATGTGTACACAGGGCCGTCGGAGCCGCGCCGGCTTTGGGCTGACCACTTTTTCTCTATCCTATCACAGGTCTCCCTCCATACCACCAATTAAAAATCCTTTTTGGGACCAGGGATTTTAGTGGTCCTTAGCAGCTTTGGTCTCTAATTTGAATCAATATAATTAAAGACCGG